GGTAATGACCAGTTGATGTAGAGAATGCGGTCAATTCTTTACACAGGTCGTCAAGAGAAATCTGCCAAAACCTTGGAGAAGATCAAGAGCCGAGAAACTTTGTTATTGCCAATGTTCTGCAACAGGTCGTTCAGAATTGGCATTGGAAAACAATCTGGAATCGTATAAGCATTTATTCTCCTGTAATTAATTACAGGACGCCATATTCCATCTTTCTTGGGAACAAGGATGAACGGAGCATTCCACAGTGAAGTGGACTCCTCAGTAATTCCTTCGTGGAGCATCTTAGTAATGAGTTCTTCAGCGAAGACTCTTTGAGTATGAGGCAATCTGTAGATGGGCACATAGATAGGTTTGGTGCCTTTGTCAAGAGGAATACGGTGAGAAACAAGCGGGGTCAAACCCATGGACTCACTGTCTAGTGCTACCGCAGATTCGGCACTATTTAAAACCTTGAGAAGTTTTGGAACATCTTTGGGGTAGTCTGCCATTGTAAGGTCATCTTCCAGCAGTGGCTGGGTGGTGGAAGATTCAGTAGCCCTTTCGCCTGGGCTGACTGCACCTGCAAACTGGTCAAACTGGTCCACTCTCACTGGGAGAGGGAATCTGAGGTCAACCATTGAGGTGCTCTTCCTCAGGGTGAAATTCCTACTGTGAATGTTAACGACAAGAACTTGCAGCCTGCCACGTCGTACAGTGTGCAAGGATGGCTCAAGAGAGAGACCCATGACTTTGCACATATCGCTGTCAACTAGCATGTGGTCCCCTTCGAGAGCACTGTTCAAGTACATCGTAACTGGAGTAAGTGAGCTAGTTGACAAAGTGAAATCATACTTTGTACAGGCTGTAACTTTGCTCACTAAATCCATAATATGAGTCAGACAGTCGCCTGCTGTCAGGGCTACTGTTGCTTGACCACTGCCATCCTCTCGATCAGAATGGGAGTTAGAACGGTGGTTAGACTGGGCATCCCCAGACTGGTTTCCACTCATAACTGCAATAAGACAGTCAGGAGGTGAACTGACACAAGCTTTCGTCCGAGGTTGGTAAGGACAAGAGCTCAACCTTCGGGAGAACTGGCTACTACGGAAACCCTCTATCACTAGGGTTTCTAGACACTGGACATAGGCTGAGTAGCATGTGGTGGATCATATGTGCATGCCCCAGAAGGCCACATCCACTCCATCGAAATTCACTTTCCACTTAGCTGGGTCTAAGTAAATTTCGAGGTCTAACATGGTCTTGAGACCAACAAGCAAATCACCAGGGAAAAAAATGTTGTCGACCACCTGGAATTTTGCTAACAACTTCCGATCCTGAACCTCGAACTCCAGTGTCGTTCTTCCATGTACCATCAGGGAACTCCATGAAATGCCACTCACGGTTTAAATTTCTGATGGCTCCATCAACATGGTTGCATGCAGACCAGTGTCACGGAAGAAGGTGGAACGAGCAATATTCACAATGGAACCAATATCAAGGAAGAATTTAATAAGTTTCTCGTTTACAGTGGACTTGACTAGGGGTCCACAGGGGCTGTTGTACCGAATGTGGAGACACGTCAGGTCATCCACATCATCAGAGCCGTAGCTGCGAGTGGCTCGATGCTTGGTGGCAAGGCTCGACTTCCGGGTGGGTGGTGTAGTACTAGCCGTGTCACAATCCTCGAGGTGCTCATTTTCTGCTCCATCGGCAGGTGTGTCGTCGCATAATGCAACTAACGGATTATGGACGGGGACAGAATACAGTGACTCCGATAAGCTGACTACCTCTTTTGCTGACTGTGGACGCGACTCTTCCCCCGAGCGATGGAAAGGACTCTATCACATCACGTTCTTTGCGGTTGGCGTACTTACCACACCATGCTGGTAACAAGCGGATGTCACTGGCAGCCTCTCCTGACCTGTTTCCAATACCATACGATGCAACATGTAGCACTCGTTGGAGGTATGACTCTTAGAATTACGGTATATGCAAGAGCCATCTCCATGATGGGTACGGGGACGATTACGGTCGTTGCGTGGGGACCTAGGTTTAGTACACTCCGACTGATAATGATTTTGCCTACCATGAAACATGTCACTACACGCTTAGCTGGTGGAGCAGGTGACGGTGAACGGTGCTGAGTCTTACCTTTTCGTTTATTTTTACTCGTCGTATTATAATTTGTACTTGACGTATAATTATTTGTACTCAACCTATTGGTCTTAGGCTGTGGCTGAGTACCCCTGGATGGTGATTGTTTAATCGCTGCAGTGAATATGACTGCACGCTGTACAGGCGGTGCTGCTAGGGCTGGCGTTGGGGAAACCGGCACTCCTGCATCAACAGTACAAACCCTGTCCCTCTCACTAGGTGGCTTTAGTCCCTCTATGGCCTCGAATGCATCCTGAACTTCGTGCTGGGGACCGAGACCTAACGCATCAGTAGCGCAATGGAGAGCCAGTGGGGCATCTCACCACATGACGCCTACTCACTTAGTGACTCACTTAGTCAATCTTATCGCATCCCCGAAATCTTTAGATGCCAGCTAAAAAAAGGCAAATGAAGTCCAGGAGGCTCTCGTGCACTGAGACTCATTCAAACCACCAGCAAGGATATCGAGGTAGTGGCGCTGCCTACTATGACTCAAGAAATCGTAATGACACGATTGCAAACAAACCATACCCCCGGCCGGGATTGAACCCGCGGTCATAGAGTCTCAAAACTCCAGCCCGTCGCGTTAGCCACTAGACCAGCTAGCCACAATAAGATTCATCCAACTAGGTATATTTCTACACCATAGGAAGGTTAGCACAGGCACCACTGTGACCACAAATGCAAGTTTTTACGATTGCAAACAAACCATACCCGGCCGGGGGTATGGTTTGTTTGCAATCGTGTCATTACGATTTCTCGAGTCATGTTGACGGCAGTAAAGGGACTTGAGCTAGCGTTCGTCACGGCCACGCTAGCTGGAGATTCGTCTGTAAAAACTTGCATTTGTGGTCACAGTGGTGCCTGTGCTAACCTTCCTATGGTGTAGAAATATACCTAGTTGGATGAATCTTATTGTGGCTAGCTGGTCTAGTGGCTAACGCGACGGGGTGGAGTTTTGAGACTCTATGACCGCGGGTTCAATCCCGGCCGGGGGTATGGTCTGCCTACTATGTTACATGAGCTATGGTCTGTTCAATCGACGGAAGCCTTTCACTTGAAGCACGAGTGGGCGCACTTTCTGTAAAGTTACTTCTAGCGTCGTCTGGGGCTGAAGAACCGTTGCGAGTACTGCGTGTGTTAGCTGAGCAAAGCTTAAGAGATCACGAGAAAGATAAATATTACAAGAGCTGAAAAAGGTACGTAATTTGCTATGACTTAGCACAGAGTCAGAGAGAACACAGCACGATGTAACGTGATAAACTGTGTATACTTTAAAATAATTTTGGAAACACGACAACAATAAAAAAATGGTACACTTTGAGAATTGATGTTAAAGAAAACTTATGCAAGTGAATGAGCAACAGGAAATTTCAAAAATTAAGGCAGGTGGTACAACGAAACTTTGCAACAATGAATAAATAACAAAAAGGCACAATACCGTGAGTGGAACAATAGACAAATAACCCGCACATTGTGACTTTGTAAATGGTCCTAGTCGGACCGAAACGTCGTCCTAAGCTCCCCTCTCCTATGTGTGGGTTATTTGTCTATGCAACAATGCAGAAATAATTAGGAATTGCAAAATGTGGCAACGACCAACTGCAAAACTATGGTGTATGACTTTGTGGGTCGCAACTTAAATAAAAAAAAGTCCTGACTCTTAAAGGCTACCCAGCCTGCTGTCTAGGGACATTTAAATTACATTGAAAAAACAACCACTCTAGCGCCAGCATGTACCTTCATACGTATTATGAAGCATAAATGTAAATAGTCAATAAAGTATAAGGAAAGGCACAAAAACTCACCTACACAAAAATATAATATGTTAATAATAATGTATATACAACCTGTAATCTCTCTACTACAACATCACCTTCACTTCAGTTTCACCTTTATCTCACTAACACACTTCTACTAGTGAGTAAAATCAAATATATTAAAAGATATAAACAGGGAGGCTCCATGACTTCTCCTTCCCCCCCACTTTCTGCCAGTCTACCAGCAGGCAAAAACACCATACAGTACTCTCCTAAAACACAGGCCTCTGCACACTAGGGTCTTACAGGTAAACGTGAGAACACTTAAACACATATAAAATAACCTATGGTATAAACTACAAAACAAAGAACATCCCCACCTACTTAAACCAACGCCAAACCATGACGACTTCTCCCAGCCGCCGCCCTTCTCCTACTCACAAACTCCCCACCTGATCCTGTCTCCTGGCCACTCTGCCTGACCAGGAATAATATACGTCTGGTTTCAGAACATATTCCGGTAAATGACATTATATATGGAGCGTTTTCTTTTATACAAAATATTTTTACTGCAGTACACTGCATAACAATGGTAGCAAAATACAGCAAAAATTTACGTGTACAAAAGAATGGTGTATAATCACACAAAACACTGAATTATATTACAGGCTTGCTTAACACACGGCAAAAGGTTGCAGGCGCTGGCAGTTGCTATTTGGAATGCAAAAATAATCCACTTACAAAATGACAGCGACACAAAAAAAATTATCCAAGTATTTGACGGTACAAAAATTACAAAATACTAATGCAATGTATAGAGAGAATAAGTGATCTGGCTGCCCATGATGCCCTGTATCTCCTCACAGGATGTGTGACTCTGCCAAGACTAACAAATTTCTTGGAATGTTCACCATCCTTCGATATCTCAACACATAGTGAATATGACACATTCCTGAGATTTATCTATAGGAAGTCACTGAATCTATCACTGGAAGATCAATAATGGGATCAATCAACTCTTTCAGTGCGTCTGGGAGGTATACGGGTGCGTAAGACAATGCATGTAGCATTACCTGCATTTATGTCCTCGTGCACTGCATCCAGTGATCTAGTTAAAGAGATTGTCCCTGAGAGCTTGAGAGATGCTGTAGTAGCTCAAGACCCAAAGTTCATCGAAGTAGCTGCGCAGTGGGACAGCCTTGCAGACTCTTCAAGCAGACCAGCTCCTCCAAGATATAGGGCAAACCAATCGTGGAGAAAATCGCTCACACAGCGCTCAGCAATGCCTCAGGAAAGAACAAAGTTCGTCTGCAAGCAGTGAAATCATCACATTCAGGAGATTTCCTTTCAGCTTTCCCTAATTTTTTGTATGGTCACCTGGTTCGACCCACTGACCATTCGGATTGGTGTAGTTCTTCACCTAGTCAGTGAAGAACTACACCGGCTAGGTGTAGTTGATCAGCTTGAGTTACTTGATCTCGTCTGTCATAGGAAGTAAGTGACATCATCAAGCAAAGTCTCGCTACAACCCGTTGCCCAGCAAAACGAGACCTTCAGGTACTGACATCTGATGGAAGCCAAAAGCATCCAGATGGAGTCGCCATGCTACCCTGGAAGGATGGTAAGCAGATTGCGTGGAACTACACCTGTGTGTCTGCACTGGGTGACACTCAATTGCAATACACTGAATCTGAAGGGGGTGGTGCTGCCAGTTTCAGGGAGACCCAGAAGAGCAACGGATACAGAGGATTTGCACCATACTATAACTTCGTCCCAGTGTTTCGATCCAGAGCTGAAATGCATGCAGCATTCTGGAAACACGGTCCACCTCCGGGAAGCTGGAAAAAGTATTTGTAATATAATCTCTGAGAAGTCATACATGTTGTCCTCCTTCCATTGTATCTTTAATTACGTATTTTGCTTTAAAATAAAGTTCACAAACATAGCATATAGAGGTGTGGTAGGAGAAAAAAATACTCAAACAGCTTTGGGAGACAACACTCGAGTTTTCCCTGAAGTACGTTTATATTCTTCTCTGAGGCTGTGGGTCCTGAGTTATAGAGGTAGTACCTACCTGTATGTATTTATAAACTTATTATCTTATAATTAATGTGTCATCATCTTTTCAAACAATAAAATAATTGAACCAATTTTCCGTCTGACAGTTGAAGGGAATGAGAAGGCAAGCTGCGAGGGAGGAGGCAGAGGCTCTGATGCAGCGGCTGGAGCTCCTGGAGAAGAAGAACATGTTCGGTAATGAGCTCTCAGGAGGCATGAAGCGAAAGTTGTGTCTTGCCATCGCTCTTATTGGAGGCTCCAAGGTACTCACTTATACATCTATGTTCTTTCTGAGGTGTGTGTGTGGTTAGAGACAGGCAGGGAGGAAGACAGTTTTTGTCAGTCAGATAGGCAGGGAGGAAGACAGTTTTTGTCAGTCAGACAGGCAGGGAGGAAGACAGTTTTTGTCAGTCAGACAGGCAGGGAGGAAGACAGTTTTTGTCAGTCAGACAGACAGATGGACGAACAGAGGAAAAACAAATATGCTTCTTTGTTTCTGGCCGTATGGATCAGGTTGTTAGTGCCCGCCACCAGCAGCCCAACTAGTGCACAATGTCTCAGCTAATAAGAAACTAATTTGAAGAACCGGTCAAGTTCCCTCTTGAAGACAACCTGGGATCTGTTGAAATATCCCCCTAATGCATGAATGGAGGGCGTTTAAGAGTAGTGGTCCCATTACACTTACTGTGTTCTCGAGGAACACTGCAACAGGCCTACTGGCCCATACAAGGCAAGTCCTTATCAAAACCACTCATTGCCACCCACGTACTTATCCAACCTATTCCCAAAATCTACCAAAACTTTGCTACATTACCTAAGGTACTAATTAAACCTAGCCCTTTTCACTCATATATTTGTCCAATCTCTTTTTAAAGGTACCCAATGTCTTAGTCTCTATTTCTCAAGACTGTTCAATTGCCTCCCAGCATACATAAGGGGGATTACCAATAGACCCCTGACTGTCTTCAAGAAGGCACTTGATAGGCACCTAAAGTCAGTACCTGACCAGCCAGGCTGTGGTTCGTACGTCAGTTTGCGTGCGGCCAGCAGTAGCAGCCTGGTTGATCAGACCATGATCCACCATGAGGCCTTGTCTCAGACCGAGCCGCGGGGGCGTTGACCCCCAAAACCTTCTCCAGGTATACTCTACTCGGCAGATTATTCCACACATCGGCAATTCTGTTTGAAAACCAGTACATACCTACGTCCTTATCAAATTAAATTCATTATATCTGGCTCATACCTGATTCGAATTCTTCAGTATATTATTTATATAACCCATCAACCGTTAATAAAACTTCAGGGATGTCTCCTCTCATTTTACGTCTCTCAAGACAGTGAACATAAGAACATAAGAACATAAGAACGAAGGAACACTGCAGAAGGCCTACTGGCCCATGCGAGGCAGGTCCAAGTCTCCTACCGGCTTAAGCCAATGCACCCAACCTAGTCAGGTAAAGATTGAGACACTTATGCAGCATATGGGAATCTTTATTCAGGAAACGTTTCGCCACACAGTGGCTTCATCAGTCCAATACAAAGAGGAAGGCGTAAGGAGAGGAGGAGAATGAGGTAATCAGTCCCTCAACCTGGAGTCGATGTGTTCAGTCCATCAATCTTGTAGAATGTACAGCATAGGGCCGTAGACGTGGCTTATATACTGTAGTGAGGTGACATGAAGCAGATGGAGGGGGGGTCATAGTGGTACCATCCACTAGTCGAAGTAGGTCTTCGTCCAAAGGTTGAACAAGTGTTGAAGAATTCTTTGTAACAAGATCCCATGATGCTGCTGTGTCTGACAGTTGTGATGAATGGTTTGAAAAACCGACAAGTAGAAGATTGAGACACTTATGCAGCATATGGGAATCTTTATTCAGGAAACGTTTCGCCACACAGTGGCTTCATCAGTCCAATACAAAGAGGAAGGCGTAAGGAGAGGAAGAGAATGAGGTAATCAGTCCCTCAACCTGGAGTCGATGTGTTCAGTCCATCAATCTTGTAGAATGTACAGCATAGGGCCGTAGACGTGGCTTATATACTGTAGTGAGGTGACATGAAGCAGATGGAGGCGGGGTCATAGTGGTACCATCCACTAGTCGAAGATTGATGGACTGAACACATCGACTCCAGGTTGAGGGACTGATTACCTCATTCTCCTCCTCTCCTTACGCCTTCCCTCTTTGTATTGGACTGATGAAGCCACTGTGTGGCGAAACGTTTCCTGAATAAAGATTCCCATATGCTGCATAAGTGTCTCAATCTTCAACTTGTCGGTTTTTCAAACCATTCATCACAACTGTCAGACACTGCAGCATCATGGGATCTTGTTACAAAGAATTCTTCAACACTTGTTCAACCTTTGGACGAAGACCTACTTCGACTAGTGGATGGTACCACTATGACCCCGCCTCCATCTGCTTCACGTCACCTCACTACAGTATATAAGCCACGTCTACGGCCCTATGCTGTACATTCTACAAGATTGATGGACTGAACACATCGACTCCAGGTTGAGGGACTGATTACCTCATTCTCCTCCTCTCCTTACGCCTTCCTCTTTGTATTGGACTGATGAAGCCACTGTGTGGCGAAACGTTTCCTGAATAAAGATTCCCATATGCTGCATAAGTGTCTCAATCTTCAACTTGTCGGTTTTTCAAACCATTCATCACAACTAGTCAGGTCAGGTCACATTGACTTAAGGGAGGAACACGGCAACCGACCTGGTAGCACAAGCTATCAGGTCCAACTCACACCCACCCACATCCACTCATGTATTTATCCAACCTATTTTTAAAGCTACACAACGTTCTGGCCTCTATAACTGTACTTGGGAGTTTGTTCCACTCATCCACAACTCTATTACCAAACCAGTACTTTCCTATATCCTTCCTGAATCTGATTTTTTCCAACTTAAAACCATTGCTGCGAGTCCTGTCTAGGCTAGATATTTTCAGCACACTATTTACATCCCCTTTATTTATTCATGTCTTCCATTTATACACCTCAATCATATCCCCCCTAATTCTACGTCTTTCTAGAGAGTGCAGTTTCAGGGCCCTTAGTCTATCCTCATAGGGAAGGTTTCTGATACATGGGATCAACTTTGTCATCCTCCTTTGTACATTTTCCAGAGAATTTATATCCATTCTGTAATACGGTCAAGGCTTTCAAGAATATTCATATGGGAGATTCCTTATGAAGTTGATTAATTTGTTATTCCTCTCTGAACGTTCTCCAATGAGTTTACATCCATTTTGTGGCATGGCAACCAAAACTGAGCTAAATAATCTAAGTAGACACAATTATCAGAAACGGGGGAGGGGTGGCACTCTGTGTCCGAGATCGTTTAAATTGTTGCATGAAAACCGGAATAAAGTCTGAAACACATACTGAGTCTGTTTGGATAGAATTTTCAGAGGGGCATGAAAACTTGATTTTAGGCGAGATATACCGTCCCCCAAACTTGGATAGAGACCAAAGAAGACTAATGTGGGAGGAAATTGTTAGGGCCACAAGTCACGATAAAGTAGTAATTCTAGGGGATTTTAACTTTAGTCATATTGATTGGAATTCCTTGACTGGGAATTACGAGTCTAACGACTTCTTAGAGGTAGTTCAGAATTGTTTTTTAAAGCAGTTTGTTACAAAACCTAAAAGGAGAAATAACCTCCTTGACTTGGTTCTGGCAAAGAAAACCCTTGTTAATAATTTAGAAATTTTAGAGGAACCTGGCACAAGTGACCACAAATCCTTTAGCGTTGAATGGGAGTAAGACAGTAGGGATAACTCAGTAATGGTCCCAGATTTTCGCTTCACAGGTTACAATGGGCTTAGAGAACACTTATCTGTTGATGATAGGTGCTCTCTAAAGCTTTCTAAACACTATACATGCTGCCCAAAGTACATTTATTCCGTGTAAAGAAATTAGATCGAATAGAAATGACCCAAAATGGATTAATAATGTTTGTAGATGAATGGTTCAGAGAACCGACATGTTGATAAATTAGACACATGTGCAACTCTTGGGTATCTTTATTGAGGAAACGTTTCGCCACACAGTGGCTTCATCATTCCATACTAAGGAGAATCTTGAAAAACAGGAGGAGAATGAGGTAATCAGTCCCTCAACCTTGAGTCGATGTGTTCAGTCCATCAATCTTGAATAGATTAATAATAGGCTCATATATCTTTTAGGGCAGAAGAAAGAAATTTATAGGAGCATGAAAAGAGGTGAGAGTCATCTTAAGAATCAATATATTAACATTAAGAGGGAGGTTTAAAGGGGATAAGAAAAGCTAAACAGGAGTACGAAATTAAAGTTGCTAGGGATTCAAAAACTAACCCAAAAGGTTTTTTCCAGGTTTATAGAACAAAAGTTGGAGATAAGATAGGCCCCCTTAAAAATAACTTTGGGCATCTTACTGACAAGGAGAATGAAATGTGCTCTGTTTTTAATATTTATTTCCTCTCGGTTTTCACACAGGAAGACACTAACAACATCCCAGTAATTAATTTTTATAGTGAGCCTGAAGAAGATAAATTATGTAATATAACAGTCACTAGCGATATGGTTATAAAACAAGTAGATCGACTGAAACGAAATAAATCCCCTGGCTCTGATGAGGTTTTTTCAATGGTTTTTAAGGAGAGCAAAATGGAACTCTGTGAACCACTGGCTAATATTTTTAATATATCTGAAAAATTAAACACATGTGCAACATCTGGGTATCTTTATTGTAGACGTTTCGCCATCTAGTGGGTTTATCAGTACAAATTCAGGGACATAATTTGAAGATAGGAGAACTATATACAAAAGATGAGGTAATCAGTCCCTCAACCTTGGAGTTGGTGTGAAGAGCACCGTAGTCGTGAAGATTCTGGAGCACAGGCAAGAAGGCTGGTACTTATATACTTGCGACATGTGGAAAGGGACGGGTAGCAGACGAGGGCATAGTCACTGCTAAGCGGAATTCCCCAGTGGAAGCAGGTCATACCCAAGGCACGGATTAGTGGTTGTGGTAGTAGTAGTAGTACTCTGTCAAAACAGAATCTAAGTAACAAACAAACAGCCAAAGACAAGAGAGATCTCTGGAGATATGGAGAGAGAGAGGTGCTGGTCGAGCGATGACCAGCTATGGAGAGAGAGAGGTGCTGGTCGAGCGATGACCAGCTGTGGAGAGAGAGAGGTGCTGGTTGAGCGATGACCAGTTATGGAGAGAGAGAGGTGCTGGTCGAGCGATGACCAGCTATGGAGAGAGAG